CTGTTCCTTCACGTCCTGTCGCCCCCGCAGTGTTCGGAAGATGTCACCACTTGCCTTACAAATAGTGAGCTGAATCACCAATTTACACGCATATGAAATGACAAAAAAAAATAATAATACCAGATCCTCCATCCAGAGCAATTTGACCAGAAGGAAACTATGCTGAGCAAATAACCTGTGTTCTGCTAAGAAATTATTCCAGTGGCAGGATGTGATGACGCTCATTTAGCCATCAACTGACCGAGTCGGGAATTTATTTAAAAACTGCCCATGGAACCCCCTTATCATTGCTAAGTGAATGAAAAACCCACACGCCATCCCCAAGACTGCCCTTGGTGAACCACCACCAGCAAAAGAGGTCTGCTGTGAAGACGAGGCTGCGGTTCAGAAGGCTGACTCCATGCAACCCAGCTCCCCAAACAATGTCCCACCTTCATTTACCCAAGTGAACTTCCTACGCTGCCCCGACCCTGAGGCAGCCTTTCCGCTCTTCCCCTCGGGCCTTAATTACGAAACCAGCCTCTAACCATCTACTCTGACGGAACCCTGCCACCTATGAGCAAACTGCTGCCGAGGGCCCTCAGATCAGCTTCCTAAACACCAAGTGCTAGAAATCTCAGAAACCATCCTCTTCTCTCCTTATTGCATCAGCAACATTGCCATGGCACAGGCAAGCGCCTTGCTCGGGTACAAACTCTGCCACTTCACTCTTAGCGCTAAATTAGTTTCTGTCACTCCACCTCCTTCCCTGGGTCAGAACTGGTCACTCCACCTCCTTCCCTGGGTCAGAACCGGTCACTCTACCTCCTTCCCTGGGTCAGAACCTGTCACTCTGGCACACAGATATCATCCACAGGAACCAAAATTAGCTTGTCTGGAACACAAGACATCCATGGAAGCCTGGAAATACTTCCAGTAGCAATTTGCACCACAGAGGTATTCACTGCAACTGGATCTGGCCTGTAGCAGATGGTTCTGGGACTTGATATCCGCAAAAATGTTAACAGAATAAGGCAACCCTAAGACATCCATTTTTCTCCTTATCAGCGAAGGGAAAAGATCTAAGAGAAAGGAGCAGAGATCGAGGCATTATTAAATACACACTACCGAACCAGCCTAAGATGACATGGTCTATATATCCAACTGGACAGAAAGAGACAAACTCAAAGGCAACCACTCCTCTCTAACAACCGGGAAACCCTTCATTTCCACAGGTGCAAAACAATTTTCCCTTGGGATCAGCCTTCCTGGCGAATGAAAAGCCACCTTTGAGGCTTTCAAAAATAGCTCTAAATTAAAAAAAAAATCCAGCTTTTCAAGAATTAAAAATGTAAACCTTTAGAGCAAATCGAAACCTCATCTGGGAGACAGGAGAGACTGTGAATTAGAAAGCCCTTTTTAGGGAATCCTATTTTTTCTTTTGAAGAGTAAATCTGAAGGGATTAAGAAAAAAATAGGGACTTTAGGAACCAGAATATCCATGTTTTCCTGGTCACAATTGATTTTGTTTCCACTAGATTTCTACTTGCTTTTCAAACTCTCCCCAGAGAATATGAAAACTTAAAGATTACAAGTGTATGAGAGTTGCTGTTAAATCAGGGATTCTGAGTGACACCCTTTTTTTTTGTTTTGTTTTTTGCAACATCCATTAATTTGAATTTTAACTAATACTGGTACATCAGTTTTGGGGAGAAAAAAGGCAGTACTGTGACATTTCAAAAACAAAGGCTACCAAAATACAGTCTGACACAATTACTAGGGTTTCTTGGATTTGATACATGAGATTCCTTTGAGGAAAAAAAAAAAAAAAACACACAGTAAACCCTTGTGTTGATATGCCTGAGCACTTTTTAAATGTTTCGGGAAATATTTTTAAATTCAATGACTGCTCAAATTTTCACTGACCAAAGACATCCCGTTTCATTAACATTTCAAAGCAGTTATTAAATTAGCGCCCCTTGACGACTTGGTAGCTCCTGCAACTTGGAAGGTCCATGTTAGCAGTCAGTCTCTGCACTTGGCCCCCGGAGGAGGAATTTTGTAGAGGGGAAACTTTAAATGCAATTCCTTTCCGGCTGACCCTGCACGCTGGAGAGTGTGTTCAGTTTGTGCTTCAGACACTTTTTTTTTTTTGCGGGATACTGTACTGTGCGGACACTTCCTCCCGTAACTGACTTTACGCAGTAAGACCACCGCTTCCCAGCGGTGGAGAACACATGGAGAGGAAGAGCAAGTGGCCCACTGAATTGTAATTCAAAGGCAATTTCCACGTTTCCTCATCTGAATGTGAGTGAACTTTTTCTTTTCAGAAGGGGAAAAAAAAAAAGGAAACAGGGTCTTTCGGAAGTGGAAGAGGGCTGTGTGTTAAAAAGCTTTCTCTAACAAAGTATGTCAGGGACCAAAAGTGGACAAGAGGGAAAACGGAAGTTCAACGTGTGTTTGTCTTTTAACAGGAGAACTTATGCTTGTAAAACACATCAGAAGTACAGTGTTTGGTTCTGCAAGTCATTTCTGTTGGCTGTTTTTTTTCCTTGTACTCGAGGGGTACTGAGAGCCGAAGGCGGTGTTCTCTCCACCATGACTGGGCATGTAACGCGTTTGTATCAACTTTTCACCGGCAGGCATGTGCTTTCCAACAAAGGAGAGTGGAGACAAGGAGAGGAGAGTGGGTATTGACACACTTTACGGACTTGGTGCTTCAACGGTACTTTACAAATGACTTGCTTAATTTAAACGTCCATCACCGTAAGAGACATTGGAGTAAAAGAAAATGGGAACTACTTGAACCACAATCTTTTGGGGGGAGTGGGGCAGAGGGCAGGGAGAGCCTGAACTTGAATGTAGGTATCATAAACCAAATTCAGTAACCTTGTCTCCTACCCATGGACTTGAAGTATCCACTTTCTTCAAAGACCAAGGCGGGAGACAAAGCAGTGAATTGAAATGACAAGAGGGACACCAAGGGCTGGGAAACGTGAGCCTTTTACATAGGTTTTTGTCACGTTACAGTAACACGCTTTTTTTTCCTTGGAGCAAACTGTGTACGTCAAATTTTAAACATTAAACATTGAAAGGATGTGCAAGTCGAAAAGGGCTCAACAGGGTTAGAATCCTGATTTGAACATCAAAAGTCACTCTCTCAAGCATCACTTTGATCTATAGGCGAGGAGGAAGGCAGGCAGGAAAGGGACAAAAAGAGGGAGATAATTGAATTACTCAATAAAAGAGGCTACTTACCATCCCAACCCATTGTAAGACATACACTTCTGATATAAGAGAACTCCTTAGAGGTCGAATAAAGCCTGTAAGCACCTTTGAGTAATGTACCTGCCCCCAAGAGGGGGCCCGGAAGCCCAACGTGGGCTTAGCGGAACAGACCTTTGCTAATCTGTTTATTTCCTGGAACTGGAGTCAGGCTGCGATGGGCTGCGATTCCCAGGACGATACATTTAATTAGAACGAAACAGAACAAAACAAAAAAAAAATTGTTGTAAAAGCTCACCAAACTGCTGCACTTGTGTCTCTGAATGTGGGTGGCATTTCTTTTAAAAGGCAAAGTATGGTCTGTGAAGGAGAAAGGGAAAAGGGGAGGTGGGAGTGGGGAGAAGGGGCTATGGTGCCTGGCAGGGAAGCCCTATCTAAGAGCCCTGCCTGGGGGCGGGGAGGGGGTCCTCAGCGACTTCCCAGCCAGGACAGCGACGGGGCAGCCATCTGTCCAGCGCGTTCTCTTCCCCTCCCCACCCCGGGCTCCCTCCAAGACTCGCTTTCCTACCAGCTGAAATCCTCCTTCCACTTCCAAATCTACTCTCTAGCTACCGCTTCCCCTGCCCCACCAGGAAAGGGTGGGCGAACCCTGCACCCCAACCTTGTGCTGGAGTAGGGGAAACGGGGCCCCAACCTCGCCCTGAAACGCGCTGGGCTGGCCCCTTTATCACCCTCCAGAGAAGGGTGTGGGGCGAGCCCATTTCGCAATTAATAAACGCGAGGGGGGGGGGCGCTCCCTTTCAACCCCTGCCAAAGCACAAGAAAGCCTCGTTTTCTCTTCCGGAAGGGATGGCGCCGTATTTTAGCCCGAAAGAAGAGGAAACCCCAGAAGAAGGGACCAACTTGCTCTCCCCTCTATGGCAGGGAAACCAAACCTCTCCCGCTCCCCTCCCCCTCGAAACCGCATCACCTACCTAAAAAAAAAAAAGGAAGAGGACCCCTCCTCTTAAAGAAAAACAAGGGAAGGGTCTTCTCCAAAAGAGGCAGGGGCTTCCATCAAAGGGGCTAGAGATCCCCCACCTTTTTTGTCCTCTAGGGAGTAGCTAGGAAACACCTCCCTCCAAAAAAATACTGCGAGAGCCCCCACCCAAGGACTCCCCCCCAATAGGAGGATGGAGAAAGGCTTGAACGAACCCCCACTTCCTGCCTCCTAAGAAAGCTAAGACACCTTTCCAAGTAGAGCAGGGCACACCTCCCCCAGGAGAAAGGATACTGCCGGGGACTGGGAGACCCCCAACTCCAAACCCCAAGAGGGGGGCTGTTGTTCGAGATCTCCCGCGAAAAAGGGTCCGGGGGGCCCCTCCCCCCTCCCCCTCCCTTTCCCTGAAGCCGGGCGACCGGCAGGCGGGTCCGTGGCTGCCAGGTCCGGGCGCAGGGGCAGCATGGACCCCCCGTGGGCCTCCGCAGCGCCCCCCGGCGCCCCCTCCCCAGGGCGGGCAGGCGGGCGCGGGGGGTCCGGGGGGCGCCTCCTCACCTTCCCCTCAGCATGGCGCCCAAAAAAGACAGAGCGAGTGCGAGGGAGAGCGGGCGAACGCCGCGAGGGGGGGGAAACGCATGAGGCCAGGAGAGAAAGCAAGCGAGAAAGAGCGAGCGAGCGAGAGACACCCACCGACCCCGCCCTTCCTCCTCCTCCTCCTCCTCCTCTGCGGCCCGGCCCAACATGGCGGCTGCCCCCCTTCCTCCTCCTCCTCTTCCTCCCCCCGGGGACGCTGCCCCGGCCGGGCCGGGGGCCTGACCTGTCGTCAGGGAGCGGGAGGCGGTGGAGGAGGTGCGGGGTGGCCGGGCAGGCGTCGGGGGAACACGGAGGAGGCGAAGGCGTTGATGGCGGCGATGGCGGCGGCGGCGATTCTGATGGCGGCGGCGGGGGGGTCCCGGGCGCGGCCTCCATAGTTCCTTTAGGGGGGAGGGGATGTTAATGCACGAAAAAGGACTGCTTGGGCGTGGCGGGAGGGGCACACTTCAGCTCTGAGGGCTCCTGATAGGAATAGGTATATATTTTTTCGGTTTCGGAATCACCTCTGCGCCGACCTCCACGTAAGCCGCGCGGCCTAGGCCTCGGCGGGCCGCTTGCCGCCTGCTTTCTTCGCAGCCCGCTCCTGGGGTCAATCGCTCACGGGCAAGGGGCCCTCATTGGGGCGAGAGCCCCCCCACACACTCACACACCCGCGGGCCCGGGAGTGGGACACCCGGGGTACACGGACACTGGTGGGTGGTTGGGTGTAATTAGCGCTGGCCGCGCGCGATGGAGCAAGCGATGGGGAAAGGAGGAAGAGGAGAGCGAGCGAGGGGAGTTAAGAAAAAAGGATTTTAGGGAGAGAAACGGGCCGACTGTCTTGTCTGTCTGCCCGCCCTCGGTGCCCTGGCTGTCCGGCCCGCGCCGCAGTCAGAAATTCACACAAAATGGCGGCGTGGCCTGGACAGGCTGGGAGGCTAAGGCGGGAGGAAGGGTGAGGTGGGAGGGGGAACTGGGAGGCGGAGGCGGCGTCACGTGAAGGAGAGGGGGTACGGGCCACTCTCCCGAAGGGCGGCGAAAAGAGTCGAAGGGAGAGAGTGAAGCCGAGGGGAGTCGGAAAAAGCCGAAAAAGAGCTGAGCGGGAGACAGGGATAAGCGGAAAGAGCCGAAGGTGGTGATGAGGACATAGCTAGGGAGGAAAAGTGGGCGGTCCCAAGGGGCCGGAAATAGCCGAAGTGGGTCGGGCCTGGGAAACAAGGAATTAAGGTGATCCGTAAAGAGCCGAAGTCGGCGTCGGGGTGGGTGGCAGAAGGCGGAAACAGCCGAAAGAGGTCGCGCGCGGATAATGAGATTTAGAAGGAAGGAGCTGAAGGGCGGCCTGGGGAGGCGATTAAATAAGAGAGTAAACGATTTTGAGTAATTCACTCGAGAGGATGCGGAAAGAACCGAAAATTGCTAGCTCGAGGGTAGGCGGGAAGAGTAGAAAGTTTTAGATGGAAGGATGGGAGGGAAGGATTTCGGGCTACGGAGAGAAAAAAATAACCTAAAGTCGGAGGCCGGGTGCTGGAGTTGTAGGTTTCCGGAGAATGGGAGGATGGAGCCAGGCAGGCGGGCAGATGATGTCATTAGGGACCTCGGTCAGTGACTTCATCCCTGGGCGGTGCAAAAGGGGCGGGCTTTGGTGGAGTTTAAGAACCTGATGCCTGGTAGGTGGAAGTCTCTCAAATGCTATACTTGGAAGCCTTAGCCAGGTTCGTACAGTATAAGCGTAAAATCCTCTGACCCTCACAACTAAACTCAGGAGCGCTAGTATTATTCCCATTTAATGGGTGCGGACGGAACCTGGTATTTAATTATTTGGCTCAAGGTAATAGGATTTGCCATGAGCATCACAGGTTTGTTTTTTTTTTTAATCATAGCTAGCATTCCATTGCCTTCTAGGAGTAATCTGTGGACCTCTGGTAAGGCATTCACCCTAGGGTTTTATAAAAAGGCATGACCTGGCCCTAAACCGCGTGGCTCAGTTGATTGAGTGTCATCACACAAAGCAAAGGATTACCAGTTGGATTCCTGGTCGTGGCTCATGCCTGGGTTGCGGGCTGGTCCTGATTGGGGCACGTGGGAGAGGCAACAGATGAATGTTTCTCTCCCTCTTTCTTCCTCCCTTCTCCTCTCTCTATAAATAAATAAATAAAATGTTCTTTTAAAAAGTCATGACCTCTTGTTCTGAGAATTAGCTGTTGGATTATTCGTGGATTCTATGAAGACCAAATGACTGGCCACATTCCCAGATGATGATGTATTATGGGACACACCAAGTGATGAAGAGAACAGGCCCAGCGTTACTTCATCATCACCCTGAAATGGTCTTGTGGGACTGAACTCTGTAAATGGGGTCTCACACCTCCAGTGTCCCACTTCCCAGCCACTGGTGGCAGATTGATTACAATGGATCCTTTCCGATGGGAAAGGCCGCCAATCCATCCTCATTGGAATAAACATTTTTTTGGAAATTGGAGTTATTTTTTTCCCACTGGCTGCCCTATATCTGCCAGCATTACCATCCCCAGACTTTATTATTTTCACAGTAAGTTTTTAAACATTAAAAACGCACCCCTCACACAAAAGCATTGTGAACATGTATCAGTGATGTTCTTTTCATTCATGAGAGCCAGCAAAACAACAGAGCTGGTTCAAGGCAGGACTGTGAAGAATGGGTGTGTATAGACAGTGGAGCAAAGAATGCTAGAATAAGGTTGGAGGCTTTGGTGCAAAACCGGTTGATGTCTTTCAAGGTTGTGTTTTCTATCAGACACATATCATTTGAGATTTGAGAAGCAACCATAACTTTACCACATCTACACCCTAATCAACAATTACGTAGTAAATCCAAGTAATATGTAGGATGTCAGAAGGGCTCGGCATTGTCAACAGAGGAAGAAAACTTGCCTGGTGACATTTGCTGGTGCTTTTGTTTTCCTCGTTACCTACAAGCCGGTGGCCGTGCAGAATTGTGGGATGGCCTGATGAAGCTTCAGAGATGGCACCTGCCAGAGACCACACTGTGAAGGGAAAGGGTGCTGTCCTCCTAGGTGTGGTCTATGATCTCACCCCGTGTTGTCTCATCCATAACTAGAATACATGGAATTCCAAAATCAAGGCATAAAACGACACCTTTTACAATTACCCATCTTGACACATTTACAGTATTTTTCCTTTCTATTCCCGTAACCCTGCTCTTCCAGCTCTTGATGCGTTAAAAACAAAAACAAAAACAAAAACCTTTTTCAGGCAATTGAGTTATGAACATGTGCCAATATTTTATTACAATCCCGAATGCAAAGAAAGAAAGGTCTCTCTCTTATAAGCCAATTAAAAGGTTTGCTCGTGGTAGGGATGTTTTGTAAGAAAACATTTCTGAGATGTCCTAATGAAGCAGGTCAGCGGAGGGTGAAAGGAAGAGATAAGAGGTGTTCGTCTGTTCACAACTGCAGAGCAAAACCAACACAAGCTTACGTTCCTGAATGTACATTGAAATTTTGTATTAACTTCTAGATGGCTATTTCCTAGATTACCTAGAAAGAACAGCCAAGGCTGGCAGCGCCTGCCAGTTGCAGAATTGTTTGGTGTGGAAGTAGAGTGACCAGAGCAGGGAAGACAGATGGGAATTCCCTTAAAACCGCTTTGGAAAACAGCCTGGCCAAATTAACTACAGCTGAACAGATACCAGCACTATGATTCAGCAGTTCCACCCAGGAGTGCACATATCTAACGGAAATGCAAAGGACATAAATAAGAACGTGCATAGCAACACCATTTGAAATAGCCCCTGACACCCTGGGGCTTTCAGAGCAGCCATGGCAGTCGGCAAGAACAAGCACCTTACAGGCAAGGGAGGTAGAAAGGGAGCCAAGAAGAAAGTGGTTGATCCATTTTCTGAGAAAGATTGAAATGAAAGAACCAGCTATGGTCAATATAAGAAATGTTGGCCCTGGCCTGGCTGGTGTGGTTCAGTGGATTGAGCAAAGGCCCACAAACCAAAGGGTCTCTGGTTCAATTCCCAGTCAGGGCACCTACCTGGGTTGCAGGCCAGGTCCCCAGTAGAGGCACACAAGCGGCAATCACACATTGATGTTTCCCTCCCTCTCTTTCTCCTTCCCTTCCTGTCTCCCTAAAAATAAATAAAACCTTTCAAAAAACAAAACTAAATAAACTCATGTTGATGTCAAGACTACTGGTGATTATTTATTTCATCTATTCTTTGTCAGTTTTACTAAAACAAAAAACCTCCCACAGATTCGGAAGACCTCTTTCCCTCAACATCAACAGGTCTGCCAAAGCCTGAAGAAGATGATGGAAATCATGACCCAAGAAGTGCAGACCAATGACTGGAAAGAAGTGGTCAATAAATTGGTTCCAGATAACATTGGAACCAAAATGATGATGAAAAAATGATGAACTTTTCCAGGTCCTTTGGAGTTTTGTGCCTAGTGAAGTCAGGGTAAAGACATGCAAAAGGCTTGCCAATCTATTTATCCACTCTATGATGTCTTTGTTTGAAAGGTCAAAATGCTGATGAAGCCCAGGTTTGAACTGGGAATATTCACGCAGCTTCACAGGGAAGGGAGAAGCTCTGGAAAAGCTACAGGGGATGAGACCAATGCTCGAGTTGAATGAGCTGATGGAAATGAGCTGCCAATCCAAGAATCTGTTTAAAATTCAGACTTTCAGCCCTGGGTTGGTGTGGCTCAGTGGATTGAGTGCCAGCCTGAGAAGCAAAGGGTTGCTGGTTCGATTCCCAGTCAGGGCACATGCCTGGGTTGCAGACCAGGTCCCTGATGGGGGGCGTGTGAGAGGCAACCACACATTAATGTTTCTTTCCTTTTCTACCTTCCTTCCTCTCTGTCTAGAAATAAATAAATAAAATCCTAAAAAAAAAATTTCTTGTGGCACGTTGGTTGAAAAATCACTGGTCTACCTTGTTCTTAAGGAGATGATGTTGCCCCCTAGAGGACATTCTAGAAATTATTGAGGGAAATTAATTTTGGTTGTGAACTGGTTCTCAAAGGAACAGCTTTGCTCCCTAGGGGATGTCTTGGAAATTTGAGGGAAGTTTTCTGGGCATGACAATAATGAACGGGTTGTTACTTGCACTAGAGGACAGGGACCTGGGGTAATATAATGTCCTGCAACATGACAATGGTATTGAATGATCACCTAATGAATGAAGTTAATGATAGTTCTTTTTAAAAAATTTTTATTTATTTATTTTTGGAGAGAGGGGAAGGGAGAGAGAAAGAGACAGAGAAAAACATCAGTGTGTGGTTGCCACTTACGCACTCCCTGCTGGGGACCTGGCCCAAAACCCAAGTATGTGCCCTGACTGGGAATTGAACTGGCGACCTTTTGCTTCACAGTTTGGTGCTCAGTCCACTAAGCCACACCAGCCAGGGCATAATGGTAGTTCTTCAATAACGGAAATAACTACTTATACTAAGGTAGATTAAGCTATAATGATGAACTTTTTTCCAGGTCCTTTGGAGTTGTGTGCCTAGTGAAGTCAAGGTAAGACTTTTGGAAATTTACAAGTTTACAAAATGGTGTATATTTCATTACACCATTTTTGGGGTAATGAAAATATTCTGGAATTAGATAGAGGTGGTGGTTGCACATGGTGAGTGTACTAAATGCCAGTGAATTGTTCACTTTAAAATGGTTAATATTAGCCCTGACCAGTGTCGCTCAGTTTGTCAGGCATTGTCCCACAAAGCCAAAGGTTGCCGGTTCAATTCCTGGTCAGGGCACATGCAGGTTCAGTCTCCATTTAGGGGGTGATCAATGTTTCTCCCCCTTTCTTTCTCCCTCCTTTCCCCTCTCTCTAAAAATAAATGAATAAAATCTTCAGAAAACATGAAATTAAATTGTTAATTTTATG